AGGAAAGATGCTGAGGTGGCTGAACACTGCATTCAGGACACGACGCCAAGAAGCAGCCCACGAGAATGCTTCCCACAAAAATGTAAACGGACTCTGACAAATTATTGCAATTACATCTACAAATTTAAGCAACTGGATATATATTTTCTGAACAACGTAAGAAAATCTACAATAAGAAAACTGAAGAATACTGTGACTTTCAAGCAACTCTGACAACTTAATCTGCCCTAGACTTTAACCATAAAACACACCACCTAGTTTTTCCCTACTGACTATAGTATACAAATAGTATGTTTGACTTTCACTTTTTTGTTTGTTTGTTTTGAGACAGGGTCTCCACATGTAGTGCACGCTGGCCTTGAACTCAGTATGTAGTCCAGGTTGGCCTCAAACTCACAGCGATCCTCCTGTCTCAGTCTCCCAAGTGGTAGGATTACAGGTATGCAGCACCACACCCAGCTTGACTTTCTAATTATTATTTATTGTGATAGCCTTAGTATTTTTTTAAAAAACCTAAACAAGGAAAAACATTTTTAAAAATAAAAGCAGCCCATGAGTGAAGCAGCACATCACCTTTAGAATTTAATTATTTCTGGGTTCAGAACACATAAATGAGTTTCAAATTAATCTCTTGTTTCTATAAAGAAATTTAACTTGTACAGAAAAAGATGTTGTAAAAGTTAACTTACGAAGCAGAATGGAAAAAATAGAAATGAAAATCACATTTTAAAGTTGATTTCACTATAAAATTCTTAGACATATTAATCAGGACTGTTATGGTTTGTGTCTAGATGTCCCCCTCCAAAGCCTCAGGCCGTCATGGGGCGGGTTTCCACAGTTTTTGATTGATCCATGGTACAATGCTGGGATTATGGGTGTGAGTGCTACACCTGCCCTGGGGCGGATAGCCTACAAACAACGTAAGGAAAGGAAAGAGGCTTGCTTCTGTTCCTCCCTTGTTGCTCTCTATTGCTTTTGCTAGCTTCTGCCACCATGAACGGTTGCCCTCTGCCACATACCACTCTACCTTGGTGCCAGCTGATTATGGACTGAAACCTCCAAAACCTGTGAGCTAAATAAACCTCTTTAATTTGGGTGTCGGGTATTTTGTCCCAGCAATGAGAAGAGTAACCAAGACAAGGACGTAGAGTCAGTGGTATTATGTGGTTCAACATATACCCAATGAAGTCAATACCAAATGACAGGGTCTTACACTCCAAAATACCATCTTTAAGAACAATCAGCTCAGGGCTGGTGATATAGCTCAGTAGTATAAGCGCCTGCCTGGCAAGCGCAAGGTCTTGAGTTTGATCCCCAGTACCACCAAAAAAAAAAAAAAAAGATCAACTAAATTTCTCTCTTTTACATTAAAATTTAAAAGTAATCATAAAATGCACAATTTTTACAGCTTTCTCAGAGTGTGGTGCTGGATTCCATATCCTGCCATATCTTCAGTTTTAAAGGATGATCATGGGCAGAACCGCTACTGCAGTAAGCCACTTGATTTCTTTATATGTACATATTAAGGCATCAAACACTTCCAAGTGAAGTATGTGAAACTTCCCCCTGAAATAGCCATAATTTGGGGCTCAAGTATTCTTAGAACCATTTATCTCCCAGGAAAGATGTGGGTTTTCACTCCTGTGTGGTAGCATGAGTTTCCTTATCTCCAAGGCCTCTGAGAAGGGACAGGACTGAACTGCTTTGAGGTCACCCACAGTACCGAGAGCCGCAGAGGATTATTTTGGCACTCTGACTCTCCTGTTCTCTGAAACATTTGGCAATGTCTCAGAATTTCATCAAAGAAAAAAAAACTGGGGGCTGGGGATTTAGCTCAGCGGCAAAAGCGCTTGCCTGGCATGTGCAAGGTCGTGAGTTCGGTTCCCGGTACCGGAGAAAAACCAACTGAAACCCACAAAATTTATGGGAAAAAAGTCATAATTAACTGCATTTGCCAAGGCAATCATTTCATTCAAGAAATACTCATACATGATGATGTGTATCAGTTATAGAAAGACTTGGCTTCTGTTTAAAATGAACTTTTTTACAACTCACTGAGTGAGTTTCAACTCACTGTGCTTTAATCAAGGCTGAAATACGTCTGCTTTAACTTTTGTGATAGATTTAATACAAAAAATTTCAAGCATGTTCTAAGCCTTTCCTAAATAAAACTCTCTCCTACTAGGCAACACCTTGGATTTCTTACATTTTTCTTACAATTTTTATTGACTTACTAAATGTCAACTGGATGTTACTTAACAGCATTGTCATATGTGAACAAAAATTATCTAATGCCATCCTGTGGCCATTTCTGTGTATGCAAAAATCAAAACAACGTGACTCCTAGAGAGAGACTTTTAGTCTCGAAATCTTACCACAGGTATTTTTCTATAAGCTAATGCATTCATAATTTTAAGAAAATTTTTAAAAAAATCAAACTAAATGAACTATAACTGACCATGGATGGTAACACTAAGTGAACATCTAGTCATATTATCTTAGGAACATTTATTTTCTCATATCTATATACTATCATGATTAATTTTTAAATCACCAAGAGGAAACATTTATAGGCAACTTCACATAGGATTCTAAGATATAATTTAACATTAATGTACTGTGCTTAGGTTAAAAAAAAGACAAGAAGGCAAGGTTCTGAAAAGTTAGAGTAACAAGAGAAGAGGGGAAAAATGGAAGAGTTAAACTACACAGCATGATCTTGGTGTGTGTGAGAGGCAAAGGCTCAAACGCACATGCGAAGCAGCACTCTTCCGTTCAGCCCTATCTCCAGCCAGGCGTAATCTCAGTAACCACCGTGAGCACTTCTCCTTCATTTGTCCACAGTTACATTTGCAATTAACGATAGTACTCAATAACATGCATTCATTCCATCATTATTCAAAAATTAAAATCAGCTTTTAAAGTAAAAAACAACCCCAAAAACCCACTTTACTACCAAAATAGTCTTAATATTTCTTTCTGATTTGTGAAAAGTTTTTAAACAAAAGAAATCTTAATTTCTACTGCCAAATTTTAGAACTTAGGGTATATGAGATATAAAGAACTAAAAAGCAAGAAGGCAAAAGAAACACAAAGCCAACAGCCTTGCAGAAGCATGAAGACAGTATCAAAATGTCTTAATGCTGACTGTGAGATTATACAACTTTGGTAACACACTAGTATAGAAAAGTTCACTCCTATAGTAACATGTAATATGAGAATTATTTGTTTTTGAAGTTACAGTTGTTGATCAATGTCACTCCGCAAGCATGAACAGCTGTTAGGAAGTTAACAGCCACAATTCTTGCCTGAAGCATGGTGTAACTTCAGAGAGCAATGATATACATATAGATCTAGGCACACAAAAAAAGACTGACATTTAATGTATATAAGAACCAAAAGGTAACATTAAGAAAAAACGCTAAGGATTTTAAAAATCAATTATAAAAATGTTTCTTTGTAAAATACAAAATTCTTCATCAAAATCAACAAAAATGTGAGAAAAAAATGAGACAATGGAGAATGTACACAAAAGTAAGAACTCTCATTACAAACAGGTGTAAGGGCAGGTAACAAGGGCATCTCTCCCCATATACTAAACTAAAATCAAAATGGATCAAGAATCCAAATATTAAAGTAGAAACAATCTGCTGGAGATAAAATAGGTAAAACTGTTGAAGACATAGGCATAGTAGCCAAGGACTTTCTGAACACAATCTCAACTGCACAAGAAATCAACAAACAGAATTACATGAAATTAAAAAGCTTCTGCACAGCAACGGAAACAACCAGCACAGTGAAGAGACAACCTGTAGAACAGGGAAAAATTTTTGCCAGTTATTTCTGAGACAAAGGACTACTATCTAGAATATATAAAGAACTCAAAAAAATTAAAGCCACCAAAATAAAAGACCCACTCAAAAAACTGGCAACTGAAATGAATAAACACTTCTCAGAACTATAAGTAGCCAATAATACAGGAAAAAATGTTCCATGTCTCTGATCTCAGACATATAACACAGATACCATGTTACTCCAGAAAGAATGGCCATCATCAAGAAATCAAATAAGAAATGTTGGAGAGGCTTGAGGGAAAAAAATGAATTCTTCTGCATTATTGGCCTATGAATATAAAGTAGTACAACCACTATGGAAATCAGTATGGGTCTTCCTTAAAAATTAAAACTAGAAATTCCATTAAATTCAGCTATTCTCCTTCTAGGTATCTTCCTGAAAGAGTTAAAGACATCATTTACAGAGATACACACACACCCATATTTATAGCACCACAACTCATAATAGCTAAATCTCGGAAGCAGTCTATATATTCATCAATACACGAATTTAAAAAATGTGGTATTTCTACATAGTGGAATATAACTCTGCCATAAAGAAGGATAAACTTGAGTTATATGTAGAAAATGGATGCAATTTGAGAGCACAGTGTTAAAATAAATCAGACATACAAGCTTAAATACTACATGATTTCTCTTGTATAGAAATACAAAATATAAATTAATTAAAGAGCAAAATAAAAGATAGATAATAGAAAACAGGGAGATAGATCTTTTGCAAAAGGAAAATGGACTAAAAGATGGACAGGCTATGGAGGGGAAGGGTATATAAAAAAGAATTACAATGTATCATGTACATGTACCAACTCCACACAATGAATGTAATAATTATATACTACAAACATGACACCAGTAGAAATTGTTTAAATAGTGGGTGACAGGTAATACGGGAGATGGATATGACTGGAATATAAGTACTGATCCCGCCAGAACATGAAACTAGGAGGAGAAAATGAGGCAACAGGGTGATAAGGGTTAAAATAATCAAAGTTTGTTAGGTACATGGAGGAATCTTTCAAAATAAAACCTATTAATCTGTATAACCAATATGCACTAATAAAAAATGTGAAAAAATTCTGATTATGTATTTGTTCAATACCAGGACAAGTATCAAACTATTATATTATTTACTATGAAAAGTCTTACCTCGTGAAGGTGAAATATCAGATATATTTCGTACACATATTAAACGACTTTGTACTGGCTTGTGCTCAACTTGCTTAACATTCTGGTCTTGGTTTTGTTGATTCTGAAGAATATAAGACACAAAGTCATATTACTGATTTTTAAGCTTAAAAAATTAAATAAAATTATTCAGGTGGTTGTCATTATTACATAAAATTTTAATAATATGATTGCTTTCAAACTGCCTTGTAATCTGGCTATTGATTAGCAGTTCTACCTATAAATGGTTGGTGGATGAGAATTGGATAAGAAAATTGTGGTACTTTTATATAATGGAATATTACTCAGCTATAAAGAAAGATAAACTCGAGGCCTTTATATTTAAATGGTCACAACTAGAGACCATACTCATAAGTGAAATAAATCAAACATACATGTGCAAGCACCGCATTGTGTCACTAGTGTAAAACTTGAAAGAGTTAATTTAAACTCGGAGGTATGATAGACACTGTGAAATGATAGGAAACCAATGAAGAGTAAAGGGCTTCTGGGATGTGGGAAAAGAGAAGGGAAAGAAGGAGAAATTTTGTATGTATGTATATACAGGATAGTTAACATGGTTGTTCTTCTGTCTTCTATTTCTATGCTGAAAGAAACTGTCAATGAGTCTTTGGTTGACCAGTATTGCATGTCTATATCTGTTTTCATGAGAAGCCACTTTGAAGATATCAATATGTAATACAACCACCATTGTTAATTCCCTACCACTTTGTTTGTAACTCTGTGTTGTCTGTATTGTGCTTGTGATATGTTGTAAAATGTTGTATGTCTGTTAATGTTTCCCTCCTTTTATCTTTAAAATAAAAAAAAAAAAAAGAAATTATAAATGGTTGGTGGAATACAATTTTTTAAAATTACCATGACAATTTTTTAAATGATTGGAAAAACTTTCAAATGATTACAAGGAAATTTAAAATATTTTATAATGTATACAAGTTTCAAATATTTAAGTCATTTCTTTTATTAGAGAATTCAGACCTACTTATAAATCAAACTATTCTAGATGTATATACGCGATAGACTTAGATACAAACAATTCTGCTATAAGTCCCTCTCCATAACATTTTTGTATAAAATGAAAATTTACATAATGCATTGGAATTTTCAGAGCTTTTATATATACTAACATAATTTAATTCTCTTGTATATGAGAAGGCATTGTTATCCTCCATTCGCTATTCAAGAAATGAATGCTCACCGGGTGTGGGGCCTATAATCCCAGCACTCGGGAGGCTGAGGCAGGAGGATCACTGTGAGTTCAAGGCCAGCCTAGGGTACAAGATGAGTTCAAGGCCAGCCTGCAGTATAGTGAGAATCTTGTCTTGGAAAAAAGAAAAAGAAAAAAAAAAAAAAAGAAACACATGCTCTACCATAGCCACTATCATCTTTTTTCCTTGCCTATAATTAACTGCACCCAGAGGTTACAAGTCACAAATTTCTTCACAACAGCATCACAAACTGTGATGACTATAGTCATTTTCTTTCTTTCCTTTCTTATTTTATGTGCTTTGTTATGAATGAGTTCTAAAAGTAGCCATCAGATATACGTTAACGGGAACTTTTAAAAAAATAGTTCTTGACCCTTATCAACAAATATAAGCAGGACATCTGAAACCTCTGTCTACAGGGACTCACAGGTGTATCTCCAGCTCTCACAGGTACAGCACTTCTTGGAGAGGTGGACGTGAAAAGCTTTGGGTTACAGAGCTAACACACAACAAGCCTCAACTGGCTTTTCAAATGTAGTTACTAGTCATAATAGGTTTGTCTCTAAAGGGAATACTATTTTAGTGTGTACTTGTAAGACAGGTGCTGCAAGTTGAACATCTCTACTTCAAAGCTACAAACTCTGAAATGCTCCAAAATGCCAAACTTTTTGAGTACTGGAAAATTCTCCACTTGACCTGATGTGACAGGTGACAACTAAAATATAGGCACACTAAATATATAAAATTCCCTTTAGACTATGTGTCGAAGGTGTACAGGAAACAAACTCTGCGTCTGGACTTGGGTCCTATCTCCAAGCATCTGAATAAGTATATGTAAATGCTCTTTTAAAATCTGAAATCCAAGCATCTCAGAGATGGGACACTTGACGCAATCTGTTTGCTGTCTCTGGCTCTGACTGCTGACTCAGAGCCTCTCCGCTCGTTTGCATCCTTGCTGCAGAGAACATGAGCTGGCCCTGGAGCCAAGGCCTGAGTCAAAGCTGGCTAAGCCACTCTCTAGTTTTGGCCTTGAGCAAGTGACTGAACGTTGATTTCCTCACTCACAAAATGGGGAAAATAAGAACAAATACTTCATTAGGTTGTCATAAGGATTAAATGAGTTAAAACATAAAAAATTAGGATCTAGCAAAGTTAGCATTGTAAATTTTTTTTTTTTTTAATTTTTTTTTTTTTTTTTTGGTTTTGGTTTTTCTCCGGTACCGGGAACCAAACTCATGACCTTGCGCTTGCCAGGCAGGCACTTTGCCGCTGAGCTAAATCCCCAGCCCCTGTTAGCATTGTACATAAGTGTGTTATCATTATTAAAGAAATTAACAAGAAATCTTAGTTAAAGAAATCTAACAAAATTGTTTTTTGAGATCCACTCTTATGGAACCACTTTACAAGTTTTAGTTAAAACAGGCCAACCATTAAAGGCAAGCAATCTTTACTGAGATGTAAGTGACAAGATAATGAACTGTGTACATTTGAAACGTACAGCTGCTCAGTTCTGACACGTGCATATGGAACTATCGCCATCCTCAGGGTGATGTAATGGGATGCATTCATCCACCCCGAGTTTTCTCATGCCCCTCTGGATTTACTTTCTCTTCCCCCCTCCACTTCGTCTCCCATCATCCCCACCAATGATTTGAAATGCTTTTTGTCACTATAGATTAGTTTGTATTTTCTAGAATTTTATATAAATGGAATCACAGAATATGTATTTGGGGGGAGGGGAGTCCAATTTCTTTGACTCAACTTTTTTGCAAGAATTAACTGTGTTGTTGTATCAATCGTTCATGCATTTTTATTACTGAGCAGTATTCCATTTTACAGGATATAACATGATTTGTCCATTCACCAGTAGAGCATTTGCATTGTTTCCAGTTTTTGGCTACTACAAATATAAAGTTGCTATGAATATTCATATACATGACTGTGTAGACATGTTTGCATTTCTCCTGGGGAATTAGGAATAAACTGCATGAGTAAATGTGTTAGTTGTGTCTTTTATTTTTAAGAAATAGCTAGGCTGTTTCCGAAGTGGTTGGATCATTTTACATTTCCAGTGGCAAGTCTCAGAGTTCAGTTGCTCTACACCTTGCTAATACAAGCACTTGATGTGACAGTCTTTTAAATTTTAGGTTTCTAATGAATGTACAGTAGTATCTCACTATGATTTGATTGTCATTTTCCTAGTGACTAACAATGCTGAGAATCTTCTTCTGGTGTTTTGTTTTGTTTTTTGAGATAAGGTCTTCAACTTACAGCAATTCTCCTGTCTCGGACTCTGAGCTGGATTACCGGCATGTGCAGGTGTGACAAACTGAGAATCTTCTTGTACTTATTGGCACTCATCTATCTTCTCGGATGAAGTATTTGTTCAAATCTGTTTTCATCTTCTATTTGGACTGTTTGTTTTCTCAGTATTCAGTTATGAGGATTTGTTTTGTCTTGCTTTGTTTTTTGAGACAAGGTCTTGCTGTGTAGTTCAGGGTGGCCTTGAACTCACTATGTAGGCCAGGCTGGTCTTGAACTTGTGGTGATCCTCCTGCCTCAGCCTCACCATGCTGGGATTACAGGTGTGCACCTCCAGGCCCAGCCCTGAGAGTTCTTTATACATTATATTCTGGATGCAAGTCTTAGTTGTACTGGATATTATTTGCATATACCTTCTCCCAAGGGCATGGCTGTACACTGGCTGAGCTAAGATTCACATTCAGAATTGAGTCAGTGAAGAAAGGAGGCATGATCTGAGACTGACTGACTCCAAAGACTGTTTTAGATAGTGTATCAGTGAAAAGGCAATACTGTTAAAACTCTTATTTTAGTAAAGTGAAAATGCTCTGAATTTGGTACCTGAAAAACATCTTCAGCTGCTTCCAGTAAACAAGCACCACTCCCTTGGGTCTTCAGCAGGGCTGTGGGAAGAACAGTGTTGGAATTTGTCTGCAACTCCAACTCTCCCAAACTCATCGGGCCATGACTAGCACAGGAATCTTCATAAATCCCACCTGCCAGCAAACATGTGAGCAGAAACTAAAATAAACTGATTACCCTAAAAAAGAATAAGTAATTAACTAAAGCTACCAATATTTCTCATTTGCTGTACTAGAAAGAGCAGTGTACTTTAGCCAAAAACACTTTGGTATCAAGCCTTTGTTGACATTAAAACCAAAGCTCATAGAACATGCCATGGGAGACTCTAAGTCAAGCTCCATCACCAAGTCCCCCATGCAGTCCCTCCCACGCATTTGCTACACACCACAGCCCAGTCCTCCAGCTTGCCTTTCTGTCACAAGAGTCACGATAATACTTTCTATCTGAAATGTAGTCTTAAAGAAAAGGGCTACTTCCTGGCTAGGAAGAGCTGCTATTGCTTAGCCCTGTTCTGTAGATATTTTTCTTCAATTGTCAGGCTCTTCCTTTCCTCATCTAAATGGCATCTCAATCAATTCCATAAAAAGAAAACAAGTAGAGATTTCTATGTATCTAATAGTAACACTGCTGTGTATGTTTATTCCAAGCACTTTCACATACATACACTATCTTATTTAATTTGAACTTGACAGTCACTCTATAAGCTAGGTCAGGTGGTATTATAAACTGTTTTCCACTGAAAAAACTGAACTTCAGTGAAGTTAGGTGACTACTATATTTAAAAATCAGAAAGTACACTGGGGAGATGGCTGAGTGGTAAAGCATTTGCCTAGCATGTGTGAGGCCTTAGGTTTGATCTCACACAAACACACACACACACACACACACACACACACACACACAGCAAAACAAAAGGAAAAAATTAGAAGGCTAGTACAAGGAACAAAGGAATTAAAACCTGCATCTTCCAATTCCCACTTCCAACTCTATTTCATGTTCTCCCTAAAATATTTCTTAAAAATTCTGTAGTTCTGAATTCATGGCTACCTTTTAAACACAGAAGAACAGAACATATATCTCATTTTAACCAACAGAAATAAACCAGTTACTTGTAAGCTAAATTGTTTTAATAAAATATTTTAGAGACACCACAGATATTTTACATTTAAAGGCAATCACACAACTGACAATTTCTAGGTATAGCATATAATCATACTCTCATTTTTCATGTTGATCTAGCTTTAAAGGGGGGTTATATGCAGCAAAATAAATCCACTGAGTTTTAATTCTTTAGTATTCAATCTATACAAAATAGTTTACCAGAACTACTTGATTATCTCATGTAACATAAGATTAATTTAAATAATGGTAATATCGGCAGTTTAGAGTAACTAATGCTCCAGGACTTTGATTTACTCCCTTACATTTTTTTTTTGGTTTTTCTCCGGTACTGGGAACCGAACTCACGACCTTGCGCTTGCCAGGCAGGCGCTTTTGCCGCTGAGCTAAATCCCCAGCCCCCCCCCTTTTTTTTTTTTTTTTTTTTTTACTCCTTTACATTCTGATATGCCTTTTTCTATTCCGCTGTCAGCTGTCCAAATTTTCCTATGACTGACAAGGAAATTAGGAGAGAAGAACGAGCACATCTGTTGAAGGGGAAAAAGACTCTAAAAACTCTTTTTGCTGGCCAGGTGCAGTGGCACACACGTGCAATCCTTGCTACTTGAGAGGCTAAGCAAGGCTGGCAGTGTAACAGCAACAGAGAATTGGCCTAGCAGGCAGAAGGCCCAAGGTTCAATCCCTATAATGGCAAGCAAAAAAACTCACTTTACTGATCCTAAGGTACATATCTAAAAACTCCAAGAGATTTCAGAAACTCTGTTAGCATTAATACAAGAATTCAGTTCTATAATTGGATACAAGATAAACAAACAAATAGGACTATTTTTTCTCCTTATCATAGCAATAAGCAAGTGGAAATGTGGCAAATCTACTATGGAAATCAAAACTAAAATATTACAATTATTAAGAAAGGCATAGAACTCATACGAAGAAAAATATGAATTCTTCTTGAAAGGCAAAAATTACTGAAATATTTTAAACAAATTTGAAAAATTTTAGAATAAGATATGAACAAATATAATTATTCTAGTATATAAACTAGTATAATTCCAATTTGAGTGATCTTTACTTGGACTGAATTTTGAGTTTATATGAAAAAACTGTCTGAGAATTACCAAGTATGACAATGAAAAAAAAGGGAGGAGATTTTCCCTATGATATAGCAAAATGTTTCTTAAAAGTCAAACCAGTCTAATAAATGTTTTAGATCAATAATCTTGAATATTTACAATAAAGAATCCAGAAAAATATCCCTATGTCTATGAGAATTTAATATATAAATTGGCTAATACACAACTGGCTATTTATCTGGAAGAGAATCAAATTCGATTTCTGTGTATGCTATTTACTAGATAAATTCCAGATAGAATAAATATAAATATATACTAAACAATTCAAATCTTGCAAGAAAACTAGGAGACTGCAGGTATAAAGCTTGTATTAGGGGGAAAAGGCATGAAAACATAGTAAGTACAGCTTGAGCATCTCTAATCCAAAAATGTGAGATCCAAAGCCTGAAACCGTGTGAGCACCTGCATGACACCACAGGCAGAAGTCTTCAGGTCTGTCCTCACGTGACAAGCTTCAGTCAGTACACAGATGTACTGAACACAGCACGAACAACTGATATCCGGTATATGTATGAGACAGACAGGAAACATAAATGAACTGTGAGTTCAGACTTGGGTCTCTCATGAGACATACAAGCAAGTATTCTAAAATTAAAAAAAAAAAAAAACTAAAACCTGAAACACTTGGGTCCCAACCATTTCAGTAAACAATATTCAACCTCTTTACAAGATAGAAATGTATAGCAGTTCAAAAAAGCTGACTCTTTCCTTGATAGATCACGCAGGATTTTTCATGACCTGGTGTCTGCTCACTGCTGCAACCAGAGTTTAGGATCACTGTGTCCTAACCTCTGACAAGTTCTTACATCTTGCTATTTCTCGAATCTGTCACCTGTGGTTATGATTTGTGTCTGGATGTCCCTCCAAAGCCTCATGCAGTCATGCAGGGACGGGCTTTTCAGAAGGGGCTGGTGTGTGATTAGTAAATCAGTCCACTGATTGAACCGTCCTTGTTCTGGGTACGATTAAAGGTGTGAGTGCTACACCTGCCTTTGGGCGGGTAGCCTGTATATAATACAAGGGACAGAAAGAGGTTGGTCCCTTCTGCCCTTGTTGCTTTTGCCATTTTGTGGGCACCATGAACTCTTCTCCTCTGTGATGCCCCTCTGCCATGTCTCCGTGCCATGGGACCAGCCACCCTGCCAAGCCACCCTGCCCTGGAGCCAACAGATTATGGACCAAACCCTCTACAAACTGTGAGCTAAATAAACCTTCTCCTATTTAACTTTGGGTGGGTATTCTGTCTCAACAGTGTCTCACTGCATATTCTCCTCTTACCACACAGCAAGCATTCACTGGTCTTTCAGGACTCACTCCAAGTAGGATCCTCTCACCAATGAAGTCCTTCCTGAATGCCCTCTCCAGCTTCCACTGACTGTTCCCCCTCTCTACATGGACTTCTTTACAAGAACAATGTTAATTCACTGCATATTTTCACCTTCTCCTCTACTAGCTCTACTCACTGAGGATAGGGCCTCATTACGTTTCATATTCCTAGCACCAAACATACGCTGAGAGCATAGGAGGTATTCAAAAAGCAGAAAGTCTTTAGAATGAATAAGTGAATAAAAAAACTAGAATGTTCTTATAATTCATCATCTGAATAATTCCTTCAAGATTCAGATTTTCACCAGCTCACATAGGGAATCCGTTCTGAGCTCCATGTCCTCACATGTCAACTGAGTCCTCCCTGCACCATCACAGCAGCGTGTGCTGTACTACTCACACTTTACTGTAACTTCCGTCTGTCTTCCAGCTCACCCACACCAGTTCGTCCTCTCCCTTGACAGCAGATGTCTATCCGCTCTGCATCTCTAGTGACTAATTTACTGCTAATGCCATCATACACAGTAGGCCTTCAATGCAGTTTTCTGAGTGAATGAAGAGCTGTATTTGGTAGTAGTTCCTTCCAGGGTCCTCACAACTCACTCAAAGTACCAGCTTACATTTTTTAGAGTATCCAAGACAACTGCTCAAAGTGATTCTGCATCTTTTTGTTACTCAACTGAACCTAAAAGCCTCAGGAATGGAGAGAAGGATAAGGAACGCAGAATGCAAATAGGACACTTCCTGAACACAGGCGGGGCAGGGCAGAGGCAAGGTGGAAATGCTCGGAGAGACCACGTGCTGCAGAGTGAGGCCACTGCCCACAGCCACAGGAGTCAGCTCGGAACAGGAACAGCAAGGCGTTCAGAGGACCTCTGTCCCGCCAACCAGGAGGAGCCCCAGGAAACACCCAGCCAGGTCAGCAAGGGACGCATCACTCTCTGGGATGCATGAGATCTAATAAAGGTTTGTCGCCATCACCTGCTATATTTTGGGGTAATTTGTTACACAGCAACAACCAACCAATAATTAATATCCCCACCTGACAGATGAAGATATTTAAATTCAGAGTTATTAAATTTCTTGATCCAAGATACAAGAGTTAGAATTCAAATCCAGTGTGAAATTCTGCAAGCCCAAATTTTAGCCACTCTGCTATACTGCTATACCTTTTTTTTTTTAATGCAGGATCTCACTTTGTGGTACAGGTTAGCCTTAAATTTACTATGTAGCCAAAGCTGGCCTCAAAGAGTGAGGCTCTTGCTGCCTCAGCCTCCCAAGTGCTGGGATTACAGGCATACAACCACGCCTGGCTATATAAGCTATGTTACTTATTATTTTTTCCAATTAAATTAAATACACTATATCTACTATTAAAATACACTCCTCTTGCAGATGAGAAGGGGATCTAAGAATGGTGGGAGAGGGCAGGGAGGGGAGTTATAGAGAAAATAAAAAGGACTAAGGTGCTGTAGGTATATGTATCAACTCCCCACGATAAATGTATTCATTTTGTATTGCAAATGTGCACAGTCCTAGCAAAAAATGATTTTAAAAGAGAAAAAAAGTATGATCCAAAATTACACTGTACCATAAGTAATATGCTGGGTGCAGATATAAGGAAGGACTGGATAAGCTACATCATTGTGGGTTTAATTCTGTAATAATCTAACAAGTATACAACTAGCTCTTCCCAAGTATCAAGTGATCTGCGAGAGCCACCTAGTGTAAATTCTTTTTAACTGCAATCTCTACAGTTAATGATATGTCACATTTTATACCATTTGATTCCTATTAATTGGAAAGAATTTGAAACAATTAGTACTCTCTCCATATGCATAAAACAAGAAATAATTTATTCCCATGGAAAATTAAGCCTTGAATCTCTCTCGATTCTAAATGATATAAAGTATTCAGTCAATATAAAACTAACCCTTTAAATCCTCCAGTGTTTTCCAACTGCAGGCATTTCCTTTGCTAATTTCTGGCAACAATGCACAGACCTGGAAGCTTCTTTTCACTCAACAGAACGCAGTAACATGGAAAAACTAGTAAGAATATAGTCAAGATGCCAGTCATGGTGGCAAATGCCAGTGATCCCAGCACGGGAGATTAAGGGGGGATGGCAGTGAGTTCGAGGCCAGCCTAGTTACATAGTGAGTTCCGGGCAAAGGCCAACCTAAATTACAAAGCCAGACCCTATCTCAAGAAAGAAAAGATAAGAATATAGTCAAGCCTCATTCATTTGCAAAATGCGCATGTAAATTTATTTACTCACTAAAACGTGTCTGTAGGCCCAAGATTAACACCAGCAGTGGTGTTAATGTGTGGATGTGTGCGGAGCGGAGAAGTAGAACTGCCTACTGTGCCTTTCCCAGCTGAGGCACACACGCTGCCTCCTCACTTCGGCTCTCACACATAAACAAAGGCTGCACAGCTATCGAAGGCCAGGTTTCTGTGGAGGTTGGTGTGCATATGCATGTCCCTGTGTGTGTGTTATAAAAACACTGAGATACTCTGTCCCACTCCTAAGTGTAAGAAGGCTGTGACATTCCCTGTGGAAAAGACAGGTGTGTTTGAGAACTTGCATTCAGGCATGGGTTATAATGCTGGTGGTTGTGTACTCAGAAGTGAATCAACACTGCATATCAAGTAAGACATCTTCAAACAGAAACACATGTCAAACCAGGTTATGTACTGATCAACTGACAACAGTGCTATGTCCAGAGACTGTAAGAACCTAACCCGCTACCTCCCCTGGGAGCAATGGCTCAGTATTTGCTAATACACTGGAGATGACTTTACAGAATTCACCTACCACAGATAGTAAGAATTAACTGGCTGGGGATGTAGCTCAATGGCACAAGTACTTGCCTGGCAAGCACGAGGCTCTGAGTTCAATTCCCAGTACAAAAAAAAAAAAAGAATTAACTATATACATATTAATGACAGGTGTTCTATTTTATTATCATTTCCAAAGTGTTAAAGAAAGTTAAGTTCTACAATAGTCACTGAACACAGCCATCTGAAAATCACACAATTTTGTAAAGTATTTTTCTACAGTATTATCTAAGTGAACCTTGTTCTAAACAAGGTGGTAGCTCAGTTTTGATAGGCTAGTTATATTTTCTAGTATATATTAAAATAAAGGCTCCTATACACTAGGTACATGCCTGCAGTCTCAGTACCCGGGAGGTTGTGACAGGAGGATTATGAATTCAAGGCCAGCCTGAGACTCTATCTCAAAAAAACAAAAAAGCATCTGCATTACAAATTTTTCAATGTGTGTATGTATATTACCAAAATTATCTCATGTATCACAACAGTACAAGTACCCGCACTGATGCATGAATCACACTTAGGAAAACACAGTTAGGTATACCATAAAAAAACTTACTACTTTGTAACAAAGAAATTTTTCATCTAAATATAGTTACACTTTTCTCAAGTCAGATCAGGAACCCTAATATAGATTATAATACAAAACAAAATACATCCCCTTCAGCACAGGAAGAGTTCAAAGACAGCGTGGTGGGATACAAAGGGTTGGTGTATACCTGAAACTATGTCAGATTGTTGAAACAACGGCTTTGGATCGCAAGGCTGACCCACAGACTCCTCATTGACGATGCACTGCTGCATACAGAGGGACTGTCCCAGTAAGATGTGCTCTGCTGCTGCTGTCAGCCTGGGCCTCTGTCCTTCACTAAGTTCGCCCATACTGTTTTCCAAGTCCTACAAAAGGTTGAAACAACTGTTAAAGCCATTATATTAAAATCAAGTCAAGCCAGTGTAGTGGCACATGCCTGTAATCCCAGCTGCAAGGCCAGCCTGGACAACTGAGCAACACCTTGTCGCAAAGTTTAAAAAGGGAGCCAAGCATGGTGGGTCATGCCTGTAATCCCAGCATTTGGGAGGCTGATACAGGAGGGTCATCAAGAGTTCGAGGCCAGCCTGAGCTACACGGTGAGTTCAAGGCCAGCCTGGACTATGCAGCAAGACGGTCTCAAAAAACAAAACAAAACAAAACTTTTTAAAGGGAAAACAGACTGGGATGTAGCTCAATGCTACAGTGCCTGGCCAGTCTGTGCAGGGCCTGGGGTTTAAACCCCAGTACTACAGGAAAAAAAGAAAAAAAAAAATCAAATCAAAACAGGAGATACCTGATGAATATCATGATCCATACTGCACCACTGCAGTTGCTTTGAATAATGAACTACTTGAAAAGTATTTTAGCAAGTGCTATATGCCACATATACCATAAAAGATAAGTCTAAAAGTAAGGCATCTAGCATTAGGCTTTATTTTTAATATCTTATTTTCCTAAAGTTGGCTATTATTTCTTCAATCTCCAACTAATTAACAATGTATAAGAAAAATTCTACTATAATTTAAAATGCTAAATGCTGGCATGCATTACATATTGTTCATACAGCTTAAAATCAGAAAAACAGAAAATACATTTTTCATGATTTAAAATTGCCTAAAGCTGTCAGTGTGAATTTTATAACTGATGAGAATATACTTGAAATAGCATAAAGATTACTCCATGTGAATAATTACATTTTTTTCTAAGTACACAGATTGAAAAAGACTATTTTAATCATATTTCATAAAGTTCTTTTCCCTGAGAAAGTACAAAGTACAAAAAGGTTTCTTTATTATATATATACTAAATGAACTAAAACTACAAAAAATTAAGACCTGTTTTCTTTCCATATTAAAACTTATATGCCATAATCACGAGTCTATTTTGTAACTTGTTAATACTATAACGAAGGGCTGGGGATTTAGCTCAGCGGCAAAAGCACCTGCCTGGCAAGCGGAAGGTCATGAGTTCGGTTCCCGGTACCAGAGAAAAACAAAAAAAAAAAAAAAAAAAAAAAAATACTATAACGAATGTTTACTAGTGAAGAAGTGAATTAGGGCCGGAGATGTAGCTCAGCAGCACAAGCACCTGCCTGGCAAGTGCAAGGTCCTGAGTTCGATTCCTGGTACCAAAAAAAAAAAAAATTTAAAAAAGAAGTGAATTAAAATTCCAGTATCTAAAAGGTGCTATGTGTACCTCTCCCCTCTTTTTTCTTTCTTCAGAGCTAGAGACTGAACCGAGGGCCTCATGCATGCCAGGCATGCACTCTGCCAGCCCTATATTTCTCATTTAAAAGGAGTTTAATTTCAACCAACATGAGTTTATCAACTGTAAAAAAATCAAAACACCTTGGTTCAACATTCAAAATTCTACACCATTTGCCCAAATTCTCCTCTATGCACCTCTATCTCCCCCTGGCTCCCCTAACCCACTGCTTCTTTTGGAACACCAATCCCTCCAACATGCTTTAAACCAAAAAATACTGGCTGCAATTCAACACATCCCCTGCAGACTCGGGGCAATGTGCAGAATGATGGCAGATGTGCTTCCACTGGAAATCAGAAATATTTCACAGTGCCTATAATACTGCTTAAAGGTAGAGGCTGTGTCTCATTCATGTTTGTATATTTTCCAAGGCTATGTGTATCATACAATAGATACTCAATAATAAAAGGTTGCAGGATGAATGAATAAATGAATGAATGATCCTCACAAATTATTAGCGTGCTTCAGTTTTTTTCAACTGTAGAACAAGTGGGTTGGAATGGATGGTCTAATTTATTTTTAGTTATACAACTCTACAGGGGAGGAAAGGGAGGGAAAGGGGTTGAAAAAAGGAAGTGAGATACAGTATGTTCATGTACCAATTTCCCAAACGGAATATAAATGTTACACACTACAAACATGTACTATTACAAACAAATGAATAAATAAATGAATAGACACTTGGACCAAAAAAAGAAAGAAAAAAAAAGAAAAAGAAAACTTTTTTCTATGATTCCAGGATAAAATTGTTTGCTATAATATTGACTTCTTAACTGAAACATCAGCATGCCTCAATTAAAAGTAGGTATCGGATACACAAAGAATCAGGATGTGTTATGTACACGTATCAATTCCCCACAATGAATGTAATCATTATGTACTGCAAACATGTAAAAATAAATTTAAAAAAAAATTTAAAAGCAGGAGTATTTTTCTTTTTTCCTGTATTTGTATCTATCAAAAAATAATTACTACGGTTACAGAGTACCTCTGAGTGACAGACTGCTTGCTGCGAAACTAGTAATTCCTGGTTCTGTTTAGCAAGAAGAGGAAGAAGTGCATCTGCATGAAATTTTTTATGGGATATCCTGATTACTTGTCCTTCACTGGGAGAGTCATCTTCCTAAAAGAAAAGTAAAGATAATTAATGCACAAAAACTTTTATCAAATGATTGTACTTTTCTCAATTATGATTAAAAAAACAGCAAATTATGTTAGCCATTTTTTGGAAGGAAGATGAGCGTGTGTGAGGAAGATGAGTGCGCGTGTGCGTGTGCGTGTGTGTGCGTGCGTGTGTGTGTGTGTGAGCGCGCGCATACACACGCTAGAGACTGAATCCAGGGCCTTTGCACTAAGTTACATCCCCAGCTCCCCCGCTTCTTTTTGAGACACAACGTTTTAAAGACTAGAGAGAATACCAGCACTGCTTAGAGTTCCATAAAGTCACTAAATGGCCCAGGCTGAGCTTCAATTTACAACCCTCCTGCATCAGTCTCCCAGAGGGCTGGATTACAGGCATGTGCCATAATACCCAGCTGAAAGTGAGGGCTTTATTTTCATTTAGTTCTTACATACACTTTGTATAATAAAAGTGCTAAATTTGCATCATATATAAACAACACTTTAGAGTAATTTGGTAACATTAACAATGGAGATTCAAGCTGGGTGTGGTAGCACACGCCTGTAATCCTAGCACTCCGGAGGCTGAGGCAGGAGGATCACTATGACTTCAAGGGCAGCCTGTGCTACAAAGTAAATTCAAGACCAGCCTGAACTGCATAGCAAAACCCTGTCTCAAAAAACCAAAAAAATCCTGGAGCTTCAGTGGAAGAAGAGGGCAGGAGATGGTGTGGATGTGGGCAGATAGTCAACAGTATAAGGAGAGAAAGACGCTGCTTTCCCCCACTTTTGCTCTTGCTGCTTTTGCTGTCTTGTGCCGCCTTGGACCGTTACCCCTGTGTCATGTGCCACTCTGCCTTGGAGCCAGCTGATTATAGACTGAAACCTCCACAAACTGTGAGCTAAATAAACCTTTCCTTCTTTAATTTTGGTGTTGGGTATTTTGTCTCAGCTTTCCCATTTCATGTTTAAACAGTGCACAAAGTAAGTACACCTCAGCACGGCAATGCGGGGAACACCCCAGAATAGTGCAACCCGGGTCACAGACAAAAATGAAACCTGCAGAAGAACGTGAGGGCAGGCGCAGCCTTCAACGCCCCCTTGCCTCTGTGCTGATACCCGCCCTTGGCGAGGAACAGGCTAGCGAGAGCTTCCACTGGCTAAGTTCACTGTGCCTCAACAAGAGACCTGTCCCAAAAATGAGGGACTCTCTGCCCCTCACAGTCACACTGGACTCACCTATGCAAACAAGTATGAACATGACCTTAAATTCACTCACGGTATTCACTTTGTCTTTAATAAAATAAAGTTATTAGCTGGATTACATATACCTTAACTATATATAAACTACTAATGGTACATTTCTTGAAGTTACTCTGGACTTTTCCAGATTATACTTTTGTATTTGCTTCTATTAGAATAAAATACAATAAAAATTCTATTAGAATAAAATTACAATAAAAATATGAAAATTAGAAAATTTCACATTTAAAAAAGGAAATGTTATCATTTAGTCCTAGTTCAGTTTAGTTATTTCAAGAAATTGGGGCTGGGGATATAGCTCAGTGGCATAAGTGCCTGCCTGGCAAGCGCAAAGTCCTGAGTTCAAACCCCAGTACCAAAGGAAAAAAAAGAAAACAAGGAAATTTAAATATAAATATGTACTGCCACCAGATGAAGTTCTAAGAATGGATAAAAATGCGATAATCACACGTTAGGCCAAGTGTTGATATAATGCTCCAGCACCCCTGAAAATAAAAATATTCCATTTATACCTTCTTCCCATGTTATTTCACAAAAAATGACTGCCCTCTCTTTACAATGAACTCAATAAATAATTACTGTTTTTAAAAAATTACCCCTGCAGCCAGGCATGGTGGTGCACACTTGTTAACCCCAGCACTCTGAAAGTCGGGGGAGGTGGGGGCCCTGCAAGTCAAGCAAGCCTGGTAAGTGACGAAATAAGCCCGTCTCAAAATGAGGAAGAGCTGGAGACGTATCAAAGGCCCTCCTGGGTTTAATGCCTAATGCTGCAAAGAGGACAAAAAGAAAAAGAATCCTCTTCAAATAAAATCAATCAAAAACTTATGAAATATCTTCTTATTCATTTGTGAAATAACATTTTTAAAAAGAGCAACAATAACAGCACTGCTTAGCTCAGCATCTGTTGTTGGTGATACTTGCTTAGGCTTTTGAAAACATACAGAAGTAAAGCTTTCTGTTCCTAAGTGTTTCAAAAGAAAATCTTACTATCATTTCTATAGGATATTTACATTATATACGTCTGTATAAATAGATGACATTTTAAAACATCTATCTTTTTCTTCTGTGGTGCTAGAGAATAACTAGGAAGAAGGACTAGTATCTCCGGATCCAATTTCAATTTTTCTGTTTAAGGCCACTGAATTTTCATGCTTATTAGCACGAAGAATTATAATCATGGTTAGGGAAAAACAAATTATAGAAGCGTTGGTTAAAAACTGCTAAGATTCTGCTCAAAATATTAAAGGACTGGAGAGGTGGTCTCATATGTGCAAAGCCCTGGGTTCAAGCTGGGACAGAAAAAAAAAAACAAAAAATTAATAAAAATGAAAATGAGTATAAATTATACAGACAGCGTATCAAGGCGGCAGTTTACATTTCGATGGAGTTCAATACCTAATTACATTAAGTATTATTTTTCAACAGCTGGAACCTCAGAGATTAATAATTTCATTCTCACTACTATGAGGAGATAACACAAGGAAATACACAAGAAACCCTAAATCCTTTCATGGACATTTTAGTAACTGTTTTGTCTGTAACTCAAACAAGTGAGAAAAAACAAGGTCAGTGGCAGTAAGTTCACGAAGACGTCCTTCCTGTGAGAATTCAACGCTGACGCCAGTCACTCCTTACCATTTCCAGGGCATCGTGCAGAGTACTGGAGAAGCTATCATTTAGGGTTGTCAGATAAAGCTCTCCACCTCCTAACACTAAAATAAAAAAGTAAAAATTTAGAGAAAAAAAATAAAAACAAACTTACTAAGCAATCTGACCAGAAAGCCACATTTAATCTTCTGCAATAGAAATACTGCCACAGTTCATAAACAAATAATACACAAACTACTCAATCTCATGGGTTTTTTTTAAAAATGCAGTTTAAAACACATGAGATTTTTCTTTCACCTAACAGCTTGTAGAAACAAATTTTTCTTTTTGAGACAGGGTCTCACTATGTACCTTCAGGCTGACCTTGGACTCACTATGTAGCCCAGGCTGGCCTCAAACTTGCAGTGACCCTCCAGCTTCCAGAGTGCTGGGATTACAGGCGTGTGCCACCACACCTGGCACTACCAGAAACTTCTAAAAATTGTACAGATAGCACTGTAGCTATAAAATTGAGAAATCAGCATTCCTATATATTGTTAATGTTATTTAAACTGATTAAAAGCTGATTAATATTTCAGAAAGCATGCTGGCAGTGTAACAGTATTTTACAGGTGCCTGGTCTGACTCAGCAATCCCACATCTAGGCAGCTGTCTAGGAGTTATCAGGCAAGTGCATGAAGGATGCTCATTAAAGTTGTGTGTAGTCTGGGAACACGAAAAACCATCTAGAAGCCCTCCCCTCAGGCACTGGCTGCAGAGACCATACAGCCATTTTCAAAATGATGTAGTTTCCCAACAGCATGTGAAGGAAGATTCTATTTTAAATCCAAATGTACATCCTCGGATTTAGGTGTCTACATATGCACACTTTAAGAAGCCTGGAAGGGTGCACCTCAAACTATGAATAATACCCCTAGAGGGCAGGGCTATGAAGTGCGGTGTACTTTCCAAAACTAACCAATGCTAACTAATGTGCACAGGCCCCACTTTTCTCTGCTATATCATATTAGATCTTTGCAAGTAAGTAAAAACACTTTAAACAGGAAAATATCACTAAGGGAATTATCATAATCTAACAGTGAAACCAAGTAATATAGGGTGACTCACTCTTGGGAGCCAATCTTTGACCGCAACTGAACACAACCTCCCCTTCTGAGATGGGCCTGTCTAGAGTCTCCGCGTCGGTGACAGTGATGCTCAGTGTGCTCTCCAGTGTGGACGAGCTGGAGCTCGGCATCCGCAAGGAGGCAGGGGCCTCGGTGCCCGCAGGTAGCGGGGTGAAGGGAACCGGTTCTGCAGGAGCAGGCTGAGCCGGAGAGTCCACACTCTCAGGTTCTTCGTCCTTCGCCACAGACATCACCCTGAGGAGGTAAAGATGTTATTCTAAATTTACTAGCTCACTGAAGGACTCTATTTTTAGATAAAAAACAGGTACTATATCTCCTCTAGCAAAGTATTTCTAGGATCTACACTATTATAATTACCAAGACTCATTTTTCTAGAACTGTTTTTATGCATTAATCATAAACCATCCTGAAAGCTCTCCTAGCTAAAAAGTAAATCTACATGGGATATATAGTAATTTAAAAGTTAACTGATCATAGTAAATGATGAGCTACATTAGGGAAAAATCACTTTTAATTTTATTAACAATCTGATAAGTGTCTTTCTTCTCTGTTTCAATCCTTTTAAAATAAAAAGATATAAATAAATTTGATTAAAATTTTTAAAAAACTTAAAATTTATAAAACTTCTTCCTAAAGTATAGTTAGGGTTTAAAAATCATTGTTTGTCATTTCTTTTTGTTTTTTTTTTTTTTTTGTCTTTTTGAGCCAGGATGGCCTTGAACTCACTATGTAGTCCAGGCTGGCCTCGAACTTGTGGCGTTCCTCCTGCCTCAGCCTCCCAAGTGCTGGGATTACAGATGTGCACCACCACGCACAGCTTTGTCTCTTGTTTCTATTGTAATGTGTCACATAAATTGGAATGTACAGTTACTAAAAGTGAATGGAGTTGGCCCTCCACATTCAGATTCCACATCTATAATTCCTCCAACTACAGATGGAAAATATTTGGTGAAAAAAAAACCTTGTCATTATTTCCTAAACAACACAATATAACGATTCTTTACAGAGCATTTACATTGAATTACATATTGGAAGTAATTTGAAATGACCTAAAATATATGGAAGGACTATGCAGATTATACATAAACATTGTACCACTGTACATAAGGCACTTCAGTAAGTACGGATTTGGGGGGAAGGTCCCAGATCCAAAATCCCCAGATACAGAGGACAACTGTGTTTTCACCTACAGTGCTCTTGGGTAAGGAAGTTCCTCTTGAAGACAGTGAGGGTTCTCTTCCTCCAATGGGAGGTCTCTATCCCCCCATGGCTTGGGAAGCTCCAGGCATGATATCTTCAACTTATCAATGGAAATCTCTGACAAACTTGGCGTAAGAGCTGCTGCTGGAGGAGGTGTGGCAGCTGGGGTAACTGCAGGAGTATTAACATGTGTGATGGCAGGCATATCATTTCCTAAAGATTTCTCTTTTTTAAAAGAAAGAAAAAAGATGAAAGTCAGTAGCTACTCTACAGAAAGGCAAAACATAGTGCTCAGAAAGTACTTGCTATTTTGACATAAAGCAGCGGCAATAACAATAATAACGATCATAGTGATGGCCATAACGAGAAAATTCCTAAGTTAATTTTTAGTAAAGTATAAGAAAATAACCTTGAAAAGACAGGACTATTCATACCACCACATATGTAGTCACCTACACGTGTCTTAAATTATATACTTTAAGAAGAGGCACTATGGGTTCCTGTGTCCCCTAACCCCCATGGTGATACTATTTGGAGGAAGACCGCTGCAAGCTAACCGGGTCAGATGAGGACATGAGGCCTGGGGTCTCAGGTCTCAGTGGCTCTCTAAGAGTCTCCAACTCGCAGGCTCCTGTCCTCCTACTGATGCCAGATCAACAAGGCTCTCCCCAGGTGCAGGCCCTCAATCCTGGACTTCCAGACTCGAGCTGTAAGATGTAAATTCTTTTCTATATAAATTACCCAAGCTAAGGGCCTAGGATATGGCTCAGCGGCACGGCGCCTACCTGGCAAGCACGGAGTCCTGAGTTTGATTCATGGTACAAAAAATATAAAGTAAAATAAAATAAAGTAAAACAAAATAAAAAATAAATGACCCACTCTGTGGTATGCCGTTATAGCAGCACACACTAGACAAGTGGCAGCAAACCCTTTGCTTTCCTTGTGAGAGAAATGACTTAAACGAGTGATGGGGAACCTTCTAGAGCTTTCAGTGGTAACAAATACCTGGCTGTGGCACAAGTGCAATAGGTTTGCTACCACTGACTTACACCTAGTATGCAACAAGTATGTATGATATATAAAGCATCTTTCCAGGCATGGCGGTGCACACCTATACAATCCCAGCACCCAGGAGGCTGAGGCAGGAGGATCACAGAGGGAGTTCAAGGTCAGCCTGGGCTAAAAAGTGAGTTCAAGGCCAGCATGAAATGCATAGCAAGACCCTGTCTCAAAAAAAAAAAAATTAGAGAGAGAGAGGGCATCACACAATACAAGTCATGAAATTTTAATAAATAAGGTCTTTACCATTTTTAGCAGAGATTTCTTTCATCACAAAAGCAACATCATGATATGAACCACAGGGAGAAGAATCAGGCGTCTTCACCAGCATGCACTCTTCAGGAGGTGCCAAAGGGGAGCAAGGAGGCGTAGGCTGTGGAGTAGCCACTGGAGTACATATTCTTGTCTAAAACAAGTTAGGAAAACAAGTCAAATGGTGTTTATGAACACCAATTAAAAGTAATTTGGAACAATAACGTGAGTGCATTCATATGCTACACAGAAATTAAAAGCATGGGCAAAATAACAGGAAAGGAGCCTTGAGTACCCCGGCTCTTAAGTATCCAGCTGCTAGGGTAAGACCAGCATGCAGGAAGCACTGGACCTCGGAAGCAGGCCCCGAAGAGTAGGTACTCTCTTCCAGTGCAGACAGGAAGATTCAACAGACACAGCTGAAGGGCAGAGCCAGCCACAAACCCAGGACCAGCACATGACAGGAAAGCAGCATCTTCAGCTGGCAAGACATCAAAAACCAGCCCTTCAGCACTAAGGAACTGCATGTAGCAAGGGAATGATAAGAAAAAGTGAGGGTGGGGTGAGGAGAGAGAAAGACCACAGAGGGATGGCAAGTACTAGGGAAGGAAAAACAGAAACATTTTAACGGTAATTTGTTGAATAGTGAATCACTGGATGGTTCAAAATTTACAACGTAAAAAATAATGACAGTGAAAATTAAGTCTCCTGCTGTGATCTTTCTATCTATTTCCCTTCCTCAGTTACCAAATTCTTTTAAGTCATTGCACATGTATATAGATTTATCAATGGAATAAATTCCTACAAGTGGGCCTGCTTGATCACAGGGCTATGTTTTAATTTGAATGGATATTGCCAAATTTCCCTCTACAGCAGGGTACTCTTTTATATTACCACTAGAAGGGATGACAATGCCTATTTCCCCAAAGGTTTAACGAACAAGGTGTCACCAAACTTCTATGAGAGTTTTGATCAGTAAAAATGGAACTCCTGTGAACTTTTACTATCAGTGAGGATGACCACTTTTTTTCTGTAGATGGACAATTTGTATTTTGTGTGTGTGTCCTTTGTCAATTTATAAAATACATTATTTGACTTTTTCTTCTTATTCTAAAAAGTCTTTAGGGTGATTAGCCTTTTTCTGTATTATGAATTGCAAATTATAATTTTCTGTATTATGAATTGCAAATCATAATGTATAATTTAAGACATGAAACATTAAAATTCTTTAATGCTGTGTGATAATTAAAAATTTTAATTTTAATTTAAAAATGAAATATAATGGATTTTTTCCCTTCTTGACTATATAAACCTTTGACTATTCAGGAGAGGATCTTAAGGTATTCCAGTATTGAGAAGAGATGATGACGGATTTAAGTTACTGAGTATTCACTGAATTCTAGCTATTAGATTAACCTTTTACAGCTCTCACCTCATTAACCTTTCACAAAACCTCATATGACCACCTCAGGAAGACACAGTATCATAAAGATATCGTTTCCAAACTAAGCCAGCCAAAATCAGATTAGTTTCCATTAATTAACAAGCCCAAAATGATGTTTAATGGAACTCAAAATTAATTTTCAAAGAATTGGGCATGGTGGCACATGCCTTAGTCTCAGCTACTTGAGGATCACTCAACCCCAGCATTCAAGAGTTCCAGACAAGCCTAGGCAATACAGCAAAGTTCTATCTTAAAAATCAAAAACCCAGACATTGATTTTAAAATAAATTTGACC